TTCGGGGTAAGGCCCGTCCCCAGGCCCGTGGTCGGGTGACCCCGCCTCGTCGTCCTGCCCCCGCCCCAGCCGGTGAGCTCTCCGACAGCGAGGCCCTGAAGCAGACCCAGTGGGCGGGAGCGAAGATGAGGAGGACCGGGGGGTCATGGCTGTGACCGCCGTGACTGCCGCAGCTGCCAGCGACAGGATGGAGAGTGACTCAGACTCGGACAAGAGCAGCGACCACAGTGGCCTGAAGCGGAAGGCAGTGGCCTTGAAGGTAGGGGCGGGGCGGCGCACCTGGCCTGAGGGGGACTTCCTCCCACCAGGGGTCTCATCTGGCAGCCTGCTCTCCCTCCCTGGCCTTTCCTTCTTTCTTTTTTAACATATATTAAAAAAAAAGTGAGGTAGTGTACACATATCATGAAATGCCCCCTTTCAAAGTATACTATTCAGTGGGTTTTAGTACATTCACAGAGTTGTGCCACTGTCACCTCTGTCTCTGTCTAGTTCCAGAACTTTCCATCACCCCAAAAAGAAGCCCTGTCCCCATCAGCAGTCACTCCCCATCCTCCTCCCCAGCCCTTGACAACCAGGAATTCACTCTCTGTCTGTGGACTGGCCTGTTCAGGACATTTCATATCTATGGAGTCACACATTGTGTGTCCTGTGTCTGCTTCTCTCACTGAACATCATGTTCTCAGGGTCCGTCCACGTGGGAGCGGGTATCAGTGCTGCTCTCCTGCTCACGGTTGAGTGATGCTCCCGTGTGTGGAGGGACCACGTGTTTATCCATCCATCTCTTGATGGACATTTGGGTTGTTTCTGCTTTGGGCAGTTACAAATAATGCTGCCGTGAACATTCAGGTAACAGGTTTTTGTGTGGACGTGAGTTTTAAGTTCTCTTGGATAGATTCTCTTTCCTGCCTTTTTTCCTCTCCTCTGCCTTTTGACTGCTTCTGAATATTTGGGTGCAGAATGGAAGGACCAGGATTTAGCAGCAAGTTCTTTTGCTAGAGTAAGGCATTCTTTTTATGATTTGTAAAAATAACATTTGCTTTTGGTTCCAGTTGTAACTATAAGCCACGCTCATAGATATGTTAGAAGATGCAAAAAAAAAAAAAAGAATGCAAAAGCATAAACAAGCTGGTGGAAAATGCCTGCACTGAGGGGTTTCTGTGCCGAGGACTAGAAACACCCTGATGTCTTTCTCAGTGTTCCTGCGTGTGCCTCGTGTCGGGGTGCGGGTAAAGTACAGAGTTGGCAGTCATACGTACAGTATGTGCCGTGCTGCTTATCCACCTAAAATGAGAGTATTTCCTTGTCACTAAATATTATTTTATGATGCAGTTTTCAGTGCTTGAGAAGTAATCTATGGTATGACTAAATTCTAACTAATATCTTGGTAAGATTTTGGGCATTAAGCTTTCCCTCAACTTTTCATGATCTACTAGGCATTAGTTTTAAAAAGTCCCTGCTGTTTCTGTTTATACTTGTTGGAGAAGTTAAACAGAAATATGTAGAAAATGAATGCTCCCCCTCATCCTACCCCATAGAGATAAATCACTATTTGTAGGTCAGTATATATTCAGCCTTTTTTTTTTTTTTTTTTTTGCGGGAGATGGTGGAGCCAGCTTTGCATTAAACGAATTTGAGAATTCACTACCACAACACCTTTTCTCCGCACTCAGAGACATTCAGAAGACCTCTTCCCTCCTAACCCCGTGCCCCGGCACGTCGTCGGTGTTCCTTGCCCCCATGGCAGGGGCGGTGGCGGGGAGGATGCCATGGTTTTCCATCGGGTCAGCTTTGTGCTTTCTCTCTAGTTAACATGACTTTGTCGCTGTTTTCCTGTGAGTCTCTGGATCTGGTCTTCATGTTCACACTTCTCAGGCTCTCTGTGGAAGGCCTCCTGTTGTGAGGGTTTCGCCGCAGACCCCACTGCAGCCTCGGGGAGTAGGGGCCCCAGGGTCCGGCAGGAGGGTTGCTGAGCCGTCTGCCCGGCTCCATTCTCTCTGGGGTCACAGGTTCTTGCTGCCCAGAGCCCTCCCCACATCCTCCCCTTGGGCCCCGCCTAGAAGGTCCTGCCTTGGTCATCTTAGTCGTCACGATTTCTGCCCTTCCGTCTGGGGAGCCAGGCCCCACCCTGGCTTGAAACGCCCAACCTGTGACTGCTTCGAGAATCTGACAGAGTGTAACTGTGCATGGGGAACAGAAGTGTCCTGGGGTTATGCTGGGTTCCCTGAGTGCTGGGTTGAGTCCCTGTGCTGACAGGTGAGAAGGGAAAACACACACTCCCTGTCCCCGTGAACTGGACCCAGGGTCCCACCCATCCCCATCCCCTCCTGCCCAGGAGGGAGCCTGCTGAGGTGTGAGGAGCGCCGGCCTCAGCATGGCCGTCCATCCTGGGAAATGGGGCCAGACTCCTGCAGGTCCGGCCGCAGTCGTGCCCCGTCCCCTCCCTAACCACTCATTGCCCTCTCCCACCGCCTCCACCCAGGGACTTTGTACCTGCGTCCCCTCGGCCTCCCTGCAGGCTTCCCCGTGCCTTTCCCTGACCGCCCCGCCATGGCCGCCCCTTCCCACCGCACCTTTCTTTTTCCAGGACTCACTCTTTGATTCCTCCCTGAAGTTTCTTCTGGTCTCTCCCGACCAGAGGACAGGTTAGGTGGAGTTGGGGCCTCATCTCTCATGGGCGCATCACTGATATCATTGACCCACAGACAGGGGCCTTAAACAGCAGCCGTCTGTCTTCCCACAGGATTGGAGGCTGGACATCCAAGATCCAGGAGTCAGTGGGGTCACTTCCCTCTGAGGCCCTTCTCTTTGGCGTGAGGATGGCGGCCTCCTCCCCGTGCCCTCGAGTGGTCTCCCTCTGTGTCTGTGTCCTGATCTCCTTTCCTTACAAGGACACCAGTCACACTGGATCAGGGCCACCCTAATACTCATTTTATCTTAATTATCTCATCAAAGACCCTATCTCCAAATAGTCGAGTTCTGAGGTCCTGGCAGGGCAGGGCTTCAGGGTAGGAATTTTAGGGGAACGCAGTGCTGCCCCTCACACCTGGCCTTGGACAGGCCCTGGAGTTGGGGAGATGCTCCGTGAATGGTTGTGAAGAGAACCAGCGAGTCTTGGCCGTGACAGGACAGAGGCACAGGCGCAGCGTAACTAAAGCAACGGCCGACGACGCGGGCGGACGAGGCCGTCAGTTGGCGGAGACCTATCTCTAAAGCTCAGTCCTCTGCCTCCTCAGTTCTTCCTTTATATGATTTCTGAAGTTGGCTTCTTTGGGTGGGCATCTGGGAGTCCACGGACCCCTGAAACTGAATTCAGAATTGTGTATGTGTGTACTTAAAAAATCTTTTTTATTAAGGTGAAATTCACAGAGAAAAACTAACCATTCTAAAATGTACAATTCAGTGGTGTTTAGTACATTCATAACGTTGTGTAACTACTCCCTCTGTCTAGTTCCAAAACATGTTATGTGTTTTTCTCGGAAAAGGATTCCTGGTTTGGTTTTTCTTTATTTTTTTTCAATTGTAGTAAATTACACATAATGTAAAATTCACCATCTTAGCCATTTTTAAGTGCACAGCTTAGTAGCACTAAGTACATTCACACTGTTGTGCCACCATCCCCATCATCTGCCTCCAAACTTTTCTAGTCTTCCCAAACTGAAACTCTGCCAGTGAAACACTCAGTCCCCACCCTCTCCCCCAGCCCCCGGCCCCGCCATCTACTTTCTGTCTGTGGATTTGAGCCTCAGCTCTTCCCGGGCTGTGGGTGGTCAGGAGGGAGATGGCTCTGCCGAGCACAGGATTTTTCTCAGTTGCTGATCCATTCGTGCTGCTTCCCTCCCAGATGTCGGTCTCAAAACGAGCTCGAAAGGCCTCCAGTGACCTGGATCAAGGCAGCATGTCTCCATCCGAGGAGGAGAACTCTGAAAGCTCCTCTGAGTCGGAGAAGACCAGTGACCAGGTGAGCAGCTGGCTGGACCCGGGCGGGCGTGCCAGGGGGAGGGGGGCACAGGCGGGGCCAAGTGGCAGCCGGCCAGCGAGTGCCACGTCCAGCTCCCTTCTCTCTGCCCAGGACTTCACCCCTGAGAAGAAAGCCGTGGTCCGGGCCCCGCGGCGGGGCCCCCTTCCAGGACGGAAGAAAAAGGTACAGAGTTTTGTTTTGTTTCGTTCCTATTTGCCGGCCTGTGGAAGCCCCTCAAGCGGCAGCAGCCATGGTCTGCGGCAGAGCCGGTCCGTTTTGGAGGAGGGTAGGTTGCAGGCCCCCGGGAGACCCCAGGGACCGCTTCTGCCTCCACTTTCACTTGTGGCTTCGTCCTGTGGTTTCCGAGCACTGTGTGCACAAAGCACCTCCCCAGCGCAGGAGGCCACCCAGCCGCCACCGATCCCGAGAGGGAGAGGGACTTAGAGGCAGTTTGGAATACGCGGTGCTGGGATGCTGGCATCGGAAGGGATTAGCGCACTCTTAGGGGCCTGTGTGTGTGAGAGAGAGAGAGAGAGAGAGAGAGAGAGAAAAAGCATGTGTGTGTTGTGTGCATGTAGGAGTGTGTTGTCTATGTATAGGAGTGTGTGTACAAGCATGTGTGTCTGTGCCTATATGTGTGGGTGTGGAGTGTGCGTGTCTGTGAGCGTGTACATGGGTATGTATTATGTGCATATACAAGTGAATATGAGCGTGTGTGTGGTGTCTGTGAGCATATGTGGTGTGTGTGTGTTTGCGCGTGCACATGCATGTACAAGTCTGTGCCTCCTGCACTTGGAGGAGGCGGTGAGGCGCAGGGAGGTCTCCCACCCTGACTCAGGTGAGCAAGCAGGCAGCTGTGGGCACAGATTCCGGGCCAGAAGGAAGGGTTTCTGGTTTGGAGAGGTGGGTTGCTGCAGGGGCACTTGGGGGCCACCCTCGCCCTGGCTGCTCTCACCTCGCCGCGGCCTCTTCCAGAAGGCGCCCTCAGCCTCTGACTCAGACTCCAAAGCAGAATCAGACGGGGCCAAGGCTGAGCCGGTGCCCATGGCAAGGTCCGCGTCCTCCTCGGCGTCCTCCTCTTCCTCCTCCTCCTCTGACTCGGAGGTGTCTGTAAAGAAGCTTCCTCGGGGCAGGAAGCCAGGTAGGCCGGCTGGGGAGGTGCCACCTGGTTCCCTGGGCCTGGCCTGTGGGGGTGGGGGGGCTCCCGGGGGCAGCGCTGGTTGAGGCCACCCCCTCCTCCTCTGCCGCAGCTGAGAAGCCTCCCCCCAAGCCCCGGGGGCGGAAACCGAAGCCTGAGAGGCCGCCGACCAGCTCAAGCAGCGACAGGTGGGTGCCAGGGTCCTGCTGCGGGGCGCAGGTGGCGGGTGGGCCCTGGGACCGGAGCCCTGACCGGCCCGCACCCGCAGCGACAGCGACGAGGTAGACCGCATCAGCGAGTGGAAGCGCCGGGACGAGGAGCGGCGGCGCGAG